TAAGAAATAATAATAAAATAAAATTTCTAGTTGCTGAAGAAGTCCCAATAAAGGGATGAAACGTCCAACTAAATCAAACATAGTTCTACTTCTTTCATGTCCAAGTTCCCTGTTAAATTTCATCATTAAAAATTGTAATTTTTGGACGAGAGAAATACTAAATAAATAAATTTTAATATATTGTCTCATATCAATTTCTGAATTCTTCTTTTTGCAGATCCCAAATCATTTGATGTGGTTATGTTTCTTTTATTTAATATTTCATTCATTTCTAAATTTAATGGGTGAACTGTTACACTTTGCTGATCGAAATTTTTACTGTGATTGGTGGAATTCGAACAATATCGACACATTTTGGAGAAGTTGGAACATGCCTGTACATAGATGGGCTGTACGGTGAGTACTTACCAACACTATAATATAAATGTTGCATATAAGTTGTAACTATAGGTCGTATATGGAACAATAGCTTGTCATCATGAAGTAGTGAATGCATATTGTATGAATACTTGACATATAAGCATATATAAGCATTAACATAGAGAAACTTTTACTACTTTTAACTTTCCATTAGAATATTAATAAACGTTATTAATTTAATTGCATTTATATATGATGATAACTTAAAGATGTCAAAAAAAGTGATATAATATATTTAGTTTTATCTGTTTGATCAGCACAATTATTTTTCAGTTTTAATTATTAAGTAATTTATTAAATACATGTTTAATATATATATCTTTTGTGGGAGTGGTCAGTCATTGTACCAACAATGAATGAATTTGTTTAAATAATTATATGTCAAGGTGTTGCATCAAGCTTTTGCTAAATTTATATTTGAAAATATTCCCTATAAATATAAATTACATTTGCAAAGATTTTTAATTAAATCAGGCAAATTTTTGTAACGATTAATATAAATACTATACTCATATTTAGTTTGATAAATAAAAAAGAAATATCGTTAAACAAATAATTCAAGTAAAAGTTTATAGTACTATATAGTATGTGTACAATAAAAATGCTTTATTTCTAAAAAATACTATTTATTAAATTGTACACAAAAAGAAAACATACACAAAAAGTATATAGCATATTGAAATACTTACTGTTGAAGTATCATTTATTTTTCAATAATTAGTATTGCATTGATTACATGAAAAAAGAAAAATATCAGATAATTAACTGTACATACATGTGTGTCATTTAAAGATAACACAAAAGAAATCTTATATCCCTCAAAGAAATATCATACAGATTACTATGACAATTATCTTACATACACATTATTATTCCTATCTTCATTCTTATGAAAATACATGAGATAATTAATAATTATGTTATCCATGTGCTTTCCTATAAAAGATAAGAAAAAAAAGAAAAGAAAAGAAAAGAAAAGTAAGAAAAAGAAGGCCAAGGTATGCGTACTAAAGTGCCTGAAGAATTTTTCCTCTTTCACAGAGTGAAAGGTACACGTAGTAGAACATTATGGAGAGAAAAGAATAGGGATGTGGAAGGGAAAAGGGAAAGGAAGGGAGGGAGAGAGAGAGAAGATGAAAAAGATAGGTGGGTAGAGAAAGATTGGTGCTGGTGGGGTGGGATGGGTTTAGAAAAAAGGGATTGAAGTGAGAGTAGGGGTTACATGATGGGAAGAAGAAGAAGAGGAAGAAGAAGAAGAAGAAGAAAAAGAGAAGAGGGGGTGGAAGGGATAGAGTAGGATAGCTCAGAAGTAAACAGCAAAAATAAAGTAAAAAAGAAAAAGAAAAATGGAAGAAGGAAGCAAGAAAAGAGGGGTAAAGGGGGGGGGTGGGTTGTAGTAGTAGAAGCAAAGGAAGAAGTAGCAGAAGTATAGGAAGAAGTAAAAGAAGAAGGGTGAAGGGTGAGATGGGATGGTAAAGGTAGAAGGAAGGAAGGAAGGAAGGAAGAAGTTGGTGAACATAGAAAGAAGAAAAGGTAGATGGGGAAACAGGATGAGAGAACTCGTAGCATCCTACTCTTACAAGGGAACCTGGACCTTTGATCGAGCTTTTCCTCTTCCCTTCTAACCGAACCGGTTAAACTTCGTTAACGAGTGTGCCTGGCTGCCTCCCTTTAAGAAGATTTAATTACATTTTTCGCGAGTGCCAGGGTTTTTCTGTCTACCCAAGATTCAGTTTCTATCTTTCTTTCTTTCTTTCTTTCTTCTTCTTCTTCTTTTTCTTCTTCTTTTATTTTTTCTTTTTTCCCTACCTTTTTACTACATCTCTTTCTATCTCTTACACATACACACTTTTAGTTTATATATATATATATATAGATATGTATATTTTGGTTGGAAAAAGAAAAATATATTATTTTTCTTTTGGATCCCAACAGTTTTTTTTGTTGTTTTTCTAAGTTAAACCGTAGTCATCCTTATAATATTATATATACCAAGTTTCGTTTTCATTCTATGTTTTATGTTACTAAACTTATGTCCCCTTTCCTTTCCCTACACCAAGTATTCCTTCACCATCCTTATTCACTCCTACTTTCAACTTTCACGTTACTTATTTCTGTTTAACTTATTTTAACGTTGTTCATCTGCATGCATGGTGTCTCTATTTCAATCTCACATTTAATTTTCATTTTGTCATAAGAATTATAATATTATATACGGTTAATTATCATATATTCAATTTTATTTCTAGCGTATCATCACTTTTGCTTTATTCTTTAACATTTTATTGTTGTTTTTTTTTTGTTTCTTTCGTTAAATTTCTTTTCCTTTTGCTTTGAATTTTTTTTGGCCCCCCACTCCCCTTTTCTTTTTCTTTAGTTTGTTCTTTCTCGTTCAACAAATAGGGACTACTTTACTTTAGCTAGAATGTTGGGGGTCATATATACATGTATACTATATACATATATTCATGTGTGTATATATATATATATATATATACAGGGAATGTATGTATGTAGGGAATATATATATGTAGACGGGAATGTTTTCGCGTCTAGATTTCTGAGGTGGTTGAAGTTTAAAAAGCATTTTCCTCCGGCAACGAGGTAGGTACTACTGATAAAAAGAGCTTTCCACAGAGTATGGAAACTTAACTCTCGGCTGACTTCAAAGCAAGCTTTCTCTCTATCTTTCTCTTTCTTTCTGTCTTTCTATCTTTATCTTTATTTTTCTTTTTCTCTTTGCGATTTTCCTCGAACCCGATGATCGTTCCCACGACGTATGTAAGTATCTATATATGTATACGTAAAAAGTGAAAAAAGAAATAGATCCGATTCTGCAGATAAAATTCTTATTTTGACCAAGGTTTGCTCTTTCCCTTTTTCCGGATATTTTTTTCTTCTTTTTTCCTCGTTGTTTTTTTTTCCTCTCCCCTCTCAACTCTTTTACGAGTTTATTTTTATTCGTAGTTTTTATTTAATAATTATATTTAGAATATATTTACACAAAAGGAGAGGGGGGGGGGAGGAAACAATTGGTTTACTCAAAGGAAAAAATAGTTGAACGTAAAATGTGAGATCAAATGTAATACTTGTATGAGATTTGTGAAAAAGATAAAAATAAAATAGAAAAGAAACAAATGTTTAATTATTTTTCACTACAGTAATTAAATTAGATCTTTCGATTTTTCTTTTATTTTTATAATACTCTTTTACTCTCTTTCACTCTCTCTCTCTCTTTCTCTCTTTTTTTTCTTCTTTCTTTCTTTCTTTCTTTCATTCTATTGAATCAGTGAAGCTTTGAAATCAAGCTTTTTATACTGCTTTTCTCATCTACATAGAAAAAGAGAGAGAGAGAGAGAGAGTGAGATAGATAGAATGATTGATAGAATTAGGTTTATCAGACTAATGGGTTTAAATTTATACAAGATGTTCCAGTTTCTTTTTTATTTCTTTTTTCTCATAAAAATAAAAAGAACAAGAAACAAATGTTCATTTGTCTATGGGTTCATTTATCAAAAAATTGTAACAAAAATCTTGTGCTATACTTAAAAAAAATAAAATTAGGATACTTTGTATATACTTAAAGTGCATACTGTTTTTCACACACACACATTACGTCATATCAAATAATAATATAATTTATTTAAATAAATAATATATAATTCCTATAAATTGACACACACACACACACACACAGAAAATCTAAGTAGGCTTGTGAACCTAACTTGACCAGTGAACCTAACTTGACCTAAAAAACCTAACTAGACTCAACTTAGTTCATAAACCTAACTTGACCTGTCAACTTAACTTGGTTCATAAACCTAACTTGACCCATAAATTTAACTTTGCCCATGGGGCCAGGTGTGTGAGGCCCTAAGGGATTATAAAGCTATTTGAAAATTGCATCAAACGAAAATTGTCTTTTTTTCTGAGCATCAAGATGGTATAACCCCTTTTAAATGATTCAATTCTTCCAAATGAAAGATACGAAAAGGGAGATAGTAGAACGAATGGAAAATAAAGAGAAGATAGAGTAAAAAAAAAAAAGAAAAAATCATAGAAAGGTTTTCTGAAGGGGTATCACGAGTATAGAACGAACGTAGAAGATGACAAGGAAGACCAACATAGTCGTCTTTTCAGGTTTGTAATGGGAAAAGCCGATACGCATCACAGTGCGCACTTAGACCTGTTTATTCCCTAGGGCATTTATAATGCTGCTATAACTGGAGATATTCTCAACCATCTTTCTTCCTTTTCCCTTCTCATTTTCTCATTTTCAAACGAAAATAAGAATAAGTAGAATAAGAAGAAGAAGAAGGAAATGTAAGGAAAGGAACGAAAACGACACGAAATGCAGGAAACGTGAAAGGGACAGAATGGAAAGTTAGAAGGGATGTGATGGTAGGGTGGGTGGGTTTAGGGTCGAGAGGTAAAAAGTGGGAGTAACGTTGAAAGTGGGTTCAGCTGAAGGGAATCTTTTGAAAGGTGCAACGCGTGGTCTCAGTGAAACTCTCAGAACTGTCGACGACTACGACGACGTCTAACCTTCTCAGATTTTCTTCCCTTCCTTCCTTCCTTCATTTCGTTTTACCCCTTTTCCTTTCTCATCACTTTATCCCTAAATAAAATTTTCTACCCATCACCCGTGTTCCAACACCTTTTTCTTCTTTTTCTTTTTTTTTCTTCTTCTTCTTCTTCTTCTTCTTCTTTGTACCTTCTGTTGCATCTTCCGTTACTTTTTCTTATGTTAACTCCTACTATCTCATGTAGAAATATATATTTAAAAATATTATGTATTTTGTACATGAATTTTCTCTGCCACTTTCGAATGCATCCCTTCCGATAAACCAGACTGCGAACGATCCCTTACGAAAAATCCCTTCACACGATTTCAAGCTTTCTTCTCGAGTAAAAACGTTTACACGAACACCGAGAATTTACGAATGCACCGAAGAAAAATTCTACTGGGTGTACTCGAAACTTTGTGGTTAGATGATTTTTGCAAAAATATTTTAATTCAATTATTCGAAATACGTTTGCAATTAATTTTGAGAGTTTTTAAATTACTCTCTTATACAAGAGTAAAATTATTTTATAATTTAAATAATACATTTAGTAAAGTATAAACTATCGGAAACCACGAATAATTAACTTTCGAAATCAGTTCAGTACTGCATTCTAACCTATAAATATTTCGAACGAATTAAAAGAACTTTTTCTAATTAAATTTAAGTCTTCAAATTGAATGATATTCTTAAATCGTACAATTAATAGTAATAATAATAAACAATACAAAACGAATAATTAATTTTCGATATCATTTAAGTACTTTCATTCAATTCTAACCTATAAATTTATCACACACAAACGAATAAAAAAAGGATTTTTTCTAATTAAATTTTAGCCATAAAATTGTGAATATTATTTTTAAATCGTAAAAATTAATAATAATAATAATAATAATAATAATAATAAATAGAGAAAATAATACAATATAATATACATGAAGAATTTAATCGAGGTAAAATATTATATAATTGATTTGAAGAGTATCCAGTTAAATACTTTTGGTCCACCCAGTACTTGAAAGCTCTTTGCTCTTTCATCCAGAAATCTTATCCCTTACTTTCCAACCCCCTATTCCCCTCTACCCTTCTTCCCCATTCACTATTTTCTCTTTTTAACTATCATCATCTTTTTCATTCACTTTCTCCGCGTGCCTTATCATCGAGTACCTTCTTGTTTATATATTCTAGACTACCATTTCTAGATGTTCTATATTGATAAAGAAGAAGGTATTAAGTCGGTAAATCGTGGCAAACCTGGAAGCCTCTTCCAACGTTGATATTTATCGCTAATTGCTTTGACCTTTGACTCTTTATTTCCCTTTTTTCCCTTTTCCCTTTTCTTTATATTTCTTTCATTCTTACCTTTTATATTCAAAGTACTGGAAAAACGTTGTCGAAATAACTATAGATATATATTTTTAATAATAATAATAATTATTATTATTAAATAATAGAGAAAATGGGGTTTTCTTCCTCCCCTAAGAAAAATAAATTGCATTTCGTAATATTGCACACTTTAACTTGTATTAAACTAAATAATATCATATATATAAGTATAATTATTTATAATAATAACATAAACGTGACATTGAACGTGTTAAAAATATTGAATATTGACACATAAACACTTGAAATTTTTAAACACTTCAATACTACTTCAAAATCAATTGAAAATCCACATCCCAATAACCTAAATATTCTTTTTCTTTTTCCAGACATTTGTACATACCAATTGTTGAGATGGGTTACAGTAAAAATACAGCATCAATAACTGTCTTTTTCATCAGTGCATTCTTCCACGAGTATCTCGTCAGCGTACCATTGAAAACATTTAAAATCTGGGCATTTTTAGGGATGATGGGTCAAGTAAGTATATTATTAATTAATATCAATATAAATGTCTTATTTCCAAATGAAAACAATCAGAATAATTGGACTAATTAATTCCCTTAAATTAGTATGCATTTATTTATTCAAATTTTTAATGTTAAATGTTTTGATATTGTTTGTTTTTTTCTTTTTGTAAAAAGTTTTACCAACTTTGTGTTTTCTTAACAATAACCCTTTTTGAATAACCTTCCACCACGTGACACCACCCCTTTATCTATGCCTACGTTTTTTTTCTCTTTCATTCTTTCTTGTTTTTATAAATATTTTTGTTAATGCACGCACTTAGATTTGAATGTTTCCTTTCACCCTTCTAGTAAAAATAATAATTAAAAATGAAAATATATATAGTATGTTCTTAAATGATCATGTTGGTATAATAATGAATGATAATTTTTCAGATTCCGTTGTCATCGTTGAGCAAACTGGTTGAGAAAAAATTAGGCCCCAGGTGGGGTAACATCGTTGTATGGTCCAGTCTCATCATTGGACAACCCCTTTGCATTCTGATTTATTATCACGACTATGTGGTCACTCATTTTGGTGAAACCTTATTGGAGGATTATTCGGTTGTATAGGAGGAGTTTGACAAATTTATTATTCATCGGTAATTGGAGATAAAAAAGTATTTCTAAAAGAAAACAAATATCAGGAAAGAAAACATAAAAAGAAAAACCAAAAAAACAAAAAAAAACAAAAACAAAAAATAAGAAGGAAAGAAAGAGAGAGATTAATTAATATATTTTAGGAGTGGTAGGGGGAGGTGGGGATCAGGAGAGTGTTCCTTTTTTTTTATTCAACAAATTGTTTCTTTTTCTTTCTTTCTTTCTTTCTTTCGTTTCGAGTAGGAGAACAAAAAAGTGCTCATAAAAAGAAATGGTTATTAAATAAAATACAGGAAAAAAAAAGAAAGAGTTCGAGAATACTGTTGCTAATGCAATTTATTAATAAAAAAAAAATATGCAAAAGGTAGAAGCCAAAAAAAGAAAATAAAAAATAGAAGACAATTCATCGTCAAATTTAATAATTATTTCGAACACCAAAGGACACTGAAAAATAAACATTTCTAATATTAGAATGGTATCAATGAAAAATTCAAATTCTCTCCAACTCTTCTTGCAGAAAAAAAAACAAAAAGAAAGAAATATACTGAGTATAAACAAATAGAAGGAAGTTTGAGAATAATACGGAGTGCCTTAAACGTACCGTCGTTTATATTTTTTTAATCATTCTTATAATAGTATTTTTTCCTTTATTGTAAAATACACTTCTTCTTTATTCTTTTTTTTTTTTAATGTAACAAATTATTACACTAACATAAAGATGTGTGTTGTATAACAATAGAATCAGTTCTCGAATAAAATCTATATATATCGTAGAGTTAAATAGTTGTTTTTTTTTCTTTTTTTTCGTTTACAAAGAACGTTGAAAAGAAAGAAATAATAATAACGAAAGTTGCATATGTGTGAAAAAACAAAGAAACTAAAATTAAATAAAATCAAAGAAAAGGAAAGAGGAAATGAGATAGTCGAACAGTTTCACGATTTAATTAAATTAGATTCTTTTTTTGTTGAGTAAAGTATTCGAAAATGAATAAAAGTAAACAATGAAAATAATATATGACAAATGAATATGCAAATGATGCGCCATATTGAATATCATGGCGGACATTAGAAAAGTTTCGTTAATGCTATAATGCTTTGTATTTTCTATGGAAACGATTTTTACCAACTCGATTTCGTAACATGCCATTTCGTATAATACTAATTGAAAAGAAACACGTTATATATATATACATATATTTTTTTTTTCTTAAAAGTGCTAAACAATTATGCCATAGCGTATTATAGGAATCATGGAATTTACAGCAGAAAGTATTTTATTCGTAATTAAAAAAAAAGATGGATTGAATTGTTAAAACACTTTCGTCGTTGTTTAAATGCGAACAAATAATTTAACATATTTTACATACGCATGCTAAGATTTTTGCTATAAAGCTGCCAAGAGTTTTAAGTCCTCCATTTATACAGAAAGTTGACTCAAAAGTTACTGAGTAATTCATAAAATTTCATTAATATTTTATTCAATTTTACAGATTTCTTATAACCCTTGCATTTTTATAAATTAAAACCTATATATATATAAACAGAATATTAAAATATTTAAACATAACCTAGAAAAATCCAAATAATTATCTTTTCATCCAAATTCCTTACGCTTTTATAAATGATATTTGTAATAATATAAACAGTGGAGAAAAATGAACTTAGAAAACAAAATCAATAACAACAAAACAGAATGTTTAAATATTCAAAAAGAAATTAGAAAATAAATTCAAAATCAAATTATTCTGTTTCTATTTAAATATATTTTAGATCTCTAAAACTATCACCAGTTTTGTACTTTTATTTAATAAAACATATAATTTAGTAAATTGTTGGAAAAAAAAGAAATGAAATGAATAATCGAAGAGAGAAAAATGAATAGAAAGAAATAATTTGGTAACATTTGATATCCACCCTGTATGAATATATATATTACGGTGCCACGGTTAATCTTAAGAAGAATAAAGATTTTCTAGAAATATTCCCTTCCCTTTTTTGCGAGATTATCTCATACGACTGGTAACAAAAGATATTTGCGAGTTTGTTGTTGTCGAATAAACGAAATCTTTCTAACAAGTTCTTTTGAAATTTTTTCCTACTCTTTTCCACATCGGGATAAGAGCCCAAGAAGTACCTACGACGAGAGGGTCGTTGAAAAGGTAGCCCTTTTCTTTCTTTTTTTGTTTTCTTTTTTACTTCTTTAAGGGTTTACCCTCCTGTTCCTAGTTTTTTTTTATCTTTCTTTCTATTTCTTACCACGGTCAATGGTCGACTAATGATTTAGTATACTTTTATCTTTATTTTGTTAAATATTAACTCATATATATATATTTGTTAGAAATTTTAATTATTTATAATATAATGAAAATAAAAAAAAAAAAATTGTAACTACCTCGCAACACAATAATTGTTTTTAATGTTTAATAATAAATTAATACAACACACTTTAACCGCAAATATTTCGATTTATATTTTATTATTTTAATGCACAATGCAAAATAAGATTAATCATATTGTAAAAGGATTTGAGTCAACTTTAAAGGATGGTTTATAACATTTCTAAATAATTTTTAATATCAATCCTATAGAAATATGTGTTTTTTAGTTTGATATTTAGAAAAATGTAAAATAAAAATAAAATCATATTTCAAATATTGTCGATCAATATTATTGTTTTAAATATTAGTAGAACAATTAGAAAATATTTATATTAGACGATTTTGCTTAGTTTAGAAAACATTGAACCAATCAATCATACCGGAACAGATATCGAGTATGTTAACACGTTTACTGAACATTACAACGATACAAATACATTCGTATTAAGTTTTTCAATATTTAAACAAAATCACAAACGTCAATCTATAGATAAATTATTTAATTAGAAAATGTACAAAAATATTTGACCTATTCATTATATAAAACTTTGACGAATCACCAATTAGGAATCGTTGTGTGCATTTATGCATAGTTCATTCAAATCCTTTGAACTATATTTATTTCAGCAATCTAAAGGACTTATCGATTGTCATTTTAATATCGTCCGTTCATTATTATAAACGCAAACAAACAAACAAACAAGTAAACAAACAAACAAACAAAACAGAAAGGACCCTCGTAAAGTTTCTTTTATTCTGTAGAAAAAAAAAAGGAAAAAGAAGACAGTATTATACCAAGCAGCAGGTTTTCTAAAAGAAATGAGAGAGAAACAAGAAAAAAGATACAAAAGGGGTGAGCTTTTGCGGTAAAAGACAAAGAGGAACCACCCCTTTATCCTATCCCCCACCTGAAGAAACGAAAAAAATGGAAAAGGGCAAGAAGAACTAGAAGAAGAAGAAGAAGAAGAAGAAGAAGACAATAACAAAAGGTAAGTTTTCCCAAAGAAAGATATTCCACGATTCGTGTATCGCGTCGTTGTAACATTAATAGAGAAAAAGAACACCACCAGCAGCACCACCATTGAAAGTCACTATAACGTATATAGCGAATGAAAGAAAAGAGGATGATGATAGTAGTAGAATAAACCGTGTGCTTGTTTTAGAAAAAACCGAAAGAAGAGAATCAACCGTTACAGGAAAATAGTAAAAGTAAAAATATAAAGAAACATTCCTTCGAATTTTTTTTCATACATTTTATTTTATTTTTTTTTTTTTTTGTTTTAAGTATATATATATATACGAGAATATCTTTCTTTTTCGATGGAAAATCGAGGAGAATGAAATATCTTTGCGATCCCTATCTTGATGGAAACAGAAGTCAACGATAGAGTTACGGGGGTTGGTGGGGGTAGGTTTGAGAAAGATAAAGGGAATGGTTAGATCGAACGAAAGTAAAGAATTCGTTTCTTTTTTTTTTTTTTCTCTTATTAAATTCACTTTACCTGTCTTGAAATGAGATGGAAAAGAAGGGGCAAAGGGAAAGAAAAAGGAAAAAGGAAAAGAAAAGAAAAAAGAAAAGCAAAAGAATTGATCGTAAGACTCATGTATATTATATATAATATATACTGGAATAAAAGCTGATTAAAAGATAAGATAAAAGTTGGAGAGTAGGTAGGAAGGAAGATTAGTTAAGGGAAAAAAAAAATTGGTGGTTATTCGAGGGGTTGTGTGATGATGGTGGTGATGGTGGTGATGGTGGTGGTGGGTTACAAGCGATAAAAATAAATTTTATTTTTGTTAGTATATATTATAAAGATTGGATCAAAGTTTTATTCTAAGTTATGGCAATGATGTATATAAGATGTCAAATATTAGGTGGTAAGAAGAATTATTATTGTAAGGGGGAAAAAAAGAAAAGGGTGTAAAGGTGTTGATTATACACACTGGTTATGGTTATAAAAAACGATTAAAGTTAATTTGATTTCTTTAGATAGCTCATGATTATTTTAGCCTAAATTTTCTTAGGGGTTACTTTATATAAGTGGAAAATAAGTATACGTGTAAGCAAAACATTTGACAATAGAAAAACTGATTTATGGGAGCGGTAGTAAAGAAAAATATGAATCATTTTCTATTCACATATACTGAATTCGGATCAGGATTTTATTTAGAATAGATAAATGAATGAAAAAAAATGATTTTAAAAGAAGATAAATAAAAGATGATTAAAAATATCATTCCCCCCTCCCTCTCCTATCCCCAGAAGAATGTATTTTTATTGGGATGTTGATGAGAATGATGAAAAGTATGCATGATTTTTTGCTATACATATAAACCCTGGATTTGAGAGACCTGAAGTGTCGTCATATTGGGATTCTAGTGGAATGAAAGAAAAGGGGTAGAAAGAAGAAAGAATTGTTGGGAAAAGGGTGGATATTTGGGGGAGGGTGGTCTGCTGGGTAGGCCAGGGTTCTCGAAAGGAATACTTTTTTAACAGACGACGACCCTTGGGCTTTCCTCTTGTTTGATGAGACTCGATGTCACGAGCCGTTTGCCCTGAGGAACAAACCCTGGCGATGAATAAATTAATGATGCAGAGGGTTCCTCGTCGACAGTCGAACATACGTCTGCGTCACCACGATCTATACCCGAGCATGTTAAATGACGTCCAAGTACGTGACGGACATGACATCTGCGTATCCTAACTTTACTCCCAATTCTTACTTATTTTTAAGAATAACCTTTAATCTAAACCCAAATTTTATTTCTAACCTCAAAACCTTTTATAACCTCTTCCTATTTTAATTCATTCAATTGTTTCTTTATTCTTTTTTTTATCTATTTAAAGACCGTTTATTTTGGACCCATACTGCATTTCTAACCTAAAAAACTTGTATATTTTGATTCTAATTCATCATTCGTTTCTTTTTTTATTTTTTTGTTTTTTTACTTTAATAATCTTTCATGTGGACCCAAACTTTGTTTCTAACCTCAAAATCTTTTATAACCTCTTTCTATTTTAATTCATTCAATTGTTTCTTTATTCTTTTTTTATCTATTTTAAGACCCTTTATTTTGAACCCATACTTTATTTCTAAGCAAAACAAACTTTTATATTTCTATTCTAATTCATCATTGGTTTCTTTCTTTATTTTTCTGTTTTCTTTAAGAATCTTTTATCTTGACCCAAACTTTATTTCTAACCTCAAAACCTTTTAACTATCCTATTTTAATTCATTCAATTGTTTCTTTATTCTTTTTTATCTACTTTAAGACCGTTTATTTTGGACCCATACTGCATTTCTAACCTAAAAAACTTTTATATTTCTATTCTAATTCATCATTCGTTTCTTTCTTTATTTTTCTGTTTTCTTTAAGAATCTTCCATCTTGACCCAAACTTTATTTCTAACCTCAAAATCATGAACTTTTTATTTTAATTTATTCAATCTTTTCTTAATTGTTTTATTCCTCGATTAAATATCATTCATATTGAGACGTGTACGTATAAAAGAATTCGAATGAGAATAATTATTAATTACAAATATTTGTTTTCAAAAATAAATACGAGATATTTATAACTAACTTTTACGCTAATTAATAATCAACTGTAAACTAATATTCGTCAAATTCTATACACGTCAGAAACAAACTATATATTTTTTGTTTCCAAAAAAATCCTAGAAATAAACCACACCTCCTCCCCCTCCCCCCACCTTCATTTCTCGTGAATGCAAAATTTCCGTAGAAATAGATAACAGGCGTTACTTTTTCTGACGGAAATAAATTATCACATCCGCAAGAACTTTCAAACAAAAAGTACACAACCACCTATCTCTCTCTCTCTCTCTCTCTCTCTCTGTTTATACATTCACAAATAAATTCATCTATAAACGTTAGCTAAATTACCAGATATATTCTCCCTAATTATATAATTATTTTTTTATATATATATATTCGGAAATATCACAACACAAATTCATTTAACGAATTAAAAAATCCCTACGAGGAAAAAAAAGATAAAAGAAATGAAAAAATATAAAAAAAAAAAACGAAAGAACCGAAAAAGAATAGAAAAATGAAAGAGAGAGAGAAAAAAAAAGCAGGGAAATCCCCTATATATATTATTCCATTTCCAACGTGGGAAACGTCGAAGTATATTTGAGTAACGGGTCGCTCGAGTCTCTTTGAACGTCGGCCCTTTTTCAACGTATAACGCGAATTACCGTGAAAAATCGTAGGAATTTTTCGAATGGCTAGGACGGGGGTTTAGTACGAGAGAGAAAAAGTGAAAGAGAGAGAGAGAAAGAGAAATAACAGGACGACTAAAAGGAGCATATGAGGAAGGGGTGAAGTTGTAGGAATAGTAGTCATTGCAGAATAGGGTGTGAGGGTGTGAAGGGGGGTTGGGGACTGAAAGAAGTTGAAGAAAAGAAAACGGGTGTTGGGAAGGGGGTAAGATGGGGAAGGGGGTACATGAAAAGAGGGCAAGGGCGAAGGTGAAGGTGGTGATGGTGGATACGTAAAAATTTCATTTTTCTCAAGAAAGCATCGTGATAGAATAAGAAAAAGTATTTCGAATGAAAGAAGAAGAATAAGAATAAAAAGAAGAAAAAATAAGAAGAAGAAGAAGAAGACAGATAGATCGGGTCTGGTTCGGTGCAAATTGAAATATTGTATGAATTTCACGCTTGAAGATTAGAAATCAGTCGACGTAAATTCATTTTCCAATCTCGGATGGGTAGAAGAGGGTGCGCGCCAAAAGGATAGAAAGGGAAAGAAGAATAAGAATAGGATAAAAAGAGAGAGAAAGAGAAAGAGAGAAAGTTAGGTGATGTAGCATGCTCGAATAAAGCTTCGGTTGGTCTTTTGAATCCTCCCACTCACTCTCTTTTCCCTATCTTTCTTGCTCCGCAGAACCGTTCGCGTTATCCCGTAAGGTGGATTGCACGGTGTCGACGTTTCGGGTGGAGTGGGATGGTCGCGGAGGTTAGACGGGGAGGGGGAGGGTGGCGGGAGTGAAGAAGGAGTGTGGGGGGTAGGTGCTACTGCCGAGTGGGACGGTTGGGGTAAATAGAAAGGGAAAGAGAATGCTAGAGGGTTGAAGAAGAAGAAGAAGAAGAAGAAGAAGAAGAAGAAGAAGAGAGGTGGCACTGGAAGAGGATGACAAGATGAGAGGAGGATGTAGGTAAAGGGGTGAGGGAGGGAGAGAGGGAGGTAGTAGTAGTTGAGCGAGAGGGTTGGAATGGTAGAAGAGGAAGAGGAAGAGGAGGAGGGGGGTGGTTGGCAGTGGTGTGGCAGCAGGGCAGAGAGCAGGCAACCGAATACGAACGAGTGAGAGTGAGATAGAGTGAGATAGAAAGGGTAGTTGGTGGGATAACGGTAGTGGGGAGGTTGGTGGATGGTTCGGAGAGAAAAGTGGTGGGGGGTTTTGCGAGAGCGCAACACGATGCTATAAGGGCGGGTACGCAGCCGAGTCTCCGCAGTGAGCACCGCGACGCCTTCGAAGACGAATCGTGTTTAGAATTAAGCCGGTGTGAACGTTAAGTTACACGAGGCGTGCCTTTTTTTCGGTTACTATTACTATTACTATAATAACCCCCCTATCCCATTTTCCTATCCCGGTTTTACGTTTAATTTCATTTCTTCTCGATCGTGATCAATTTTATTCAATTAATAACGTTTGTATATCGTTCCTTTTTTGTTTTTTGGGTTTTTACTTTATTACTAATTTTTGATTTACTTCTATGTGGTTTAATTTTAAATGTTTCTTCTTTTTCTTGGTTTCATCTTCATACGAATGAATATGTAAAATATGAATGCATCATATTTCCAATACGTATAAATAAATAAATATGTTTGTTTGTTTGAAACTTCATTGATCATTATTTGTATCATTTTATTTTGTTGTCTTACCAATTATTTATCCAATTTTGTGCATACGTTTTTGTTCATTCGTTCGTTCGTTCGTTCATTCATTTATTTATTTGTTTATTTATTTATTTATTTAATTGGTTCAATTTTTGTCTGATCCGTTAGAAAGGGATCTTCGAATCTGGAAGAAATAGCCGATGTGCAGTGGGTGAATTTCAGTTTCCACACCTTTTCCCGAGCATCTACGATATTACTTCGAGAGGAACAGGAAGACAGAAGGAGAGAAAGATGGATAGATAGATAGAGAGAGAGAGAGAGAGAGAAAGGTTTATCTGGAAGAAAGGTTGCGCTGCGGTATCTACGATCCGCCCTTTTTTCATGGGATATCTGACATAAATAAAACCAAATAAAAAATAAACGTACCTTAAGAGGCAAATTTGCAATTTGAACGTTCTTTTTTTTTTTTTTATATTTTCGATTGATATATTATTCTTCTATTTTGTTTCATACATAATCATTCGTTCTCTTTACTATCTTCATCATTCTCTCTTTCTCTCTATTTTGATTTCTATTTTTGACTGAGTTTTCTTTTTTTTTTGTTTCACTTCCATGGATTTTCTCTTCGTTCACATCGAAAGGTTGGTATTCCCGTTCAACTTATGTTAAGAAAGTATCGAACGTTAGATTTCTAATTGTTTATATATAATCGTGGTTATGTGTGCGGTTTGTGTGTGTTGCAAAAAGTTCATATAAAATATATATATATGTGTGTGTGTGTGTGTGTGTGTAATAGTTTCAAATCACGTCAAGATCTTCGTGAAAATCTATCGCAATAATTGCAAACGCATCCGCCCATTCAGAAAACATTTTTTGTATTCCACCCAGGACCCACCTATCAACTTTATTCTAATTCAACACTTTTCTATTCTTTTCTTTTTTTTTTCATTCGCGTTCTTCCTAAAATAAGCGAGCGAAAAATTCTTCTTCATTAGCCGTACGATAATAACGTTTTTAATTGCTTACTTATAATTAATTATCAACGGATACACTGCGCAATGTTTAATTTTAAATATTCAATCTTAAAATGGAATAAACAAAACAAAATGCATTGAATCAAACCACGATCGATTATTAAATGCAACGAAATTAAATTGTCCGATTGTATTTGGATACTTTGTTTGAAATTATTGATGAAAAATTAAAAACAAAAAAAAAACAAAAATTAAAGAAGAAGAAAATCAATTGTTTGAAGTCTTCAAAAGAACAGCGGTGTATTTTTTAAACGTACAAAAGAAAAGAAAAAAGAAAAACAAAGTAACGAAAGTAGAAGAAAAACGGGATTGTAGAAAGATGAAAAATATTTTGTCGAGAAACGTTTAAACATATTTTATCGTGATTGTCGTAAAATCGATGATCGAAACTTCGGATATTTAGGGTAAGTTTATTGTTTGCTTGTTTACGCATGGCGTGTACAGTTCCCGAGTAAATCCTACCCACGTTGGAAGTCACGTTGTTGAAAGGAGGGGTGGGGGGATGAAGGAAGGGGTCGCGGGTAGCCATCAAGATTGAATCCAATAATTGCTTATTTTTTTTTTTAAGTAAGTAAATCTTTAACCTGAAAAGCATAACGTTAAATCGAAACAATCAGGCGTATTAAAACAATGTAAAGAAAATATCACGAAAAAATGAATTTTTATTTTCGTTTTTAATAAATAAATCTTCGATCAGGGTGATTGTACAAGAGTACGTGAAAAATAAATCGAAACACGAACAATACATACTATAAATAAACAAAAAAAGGAAAAGGAGAGAGAGAGGGAAGTAGAAAATATATAAAAAATTAATTTTTACTTTTCGTCCTTCGGAAATAAATTGTCAATCGGTAGTGTGTGCACAGGTACGGTAAAAAATGAAATCGAAACGCGAATACAAAAGTAGAAAAAAAAAATGATTTGTCTTCTTTCGCGTTTGTATTTTATTTTCTTTTTCTAATTTTGTTTTGTTTCCTAGGGAAAAGAAGACTACGGGACATTTTTTAATTGTTTATTTTATTTCTTTATATGCTTTGATTAAATTTTTGAATCAGTAGTGTGTGCTCACAGGTATGTAAAAAAAAAAAAAAATAAAAATAATAAAAAATGAAATCGAAACGCGAACATACTCAAAAGTAGAAAAAGAAAATGATTTGTCTTCTTTCCTGTTTGTACTTTTTTGTTTATTTTGTTTTGTTTCCTAGGGAAAAGAAGACTACGGGACATTTTTTAATTGTTTATTTTATTTATTTTTATGCTCTGGTTTGGACTATTTTCTTTTTCATTTGTTTTCACTCGAATAGATAGACGGCCCCTCGTCATTCTCCTATCCGATAACAATGAGTCGGCATTTGTTAAGGATCTAAAAGTAATTTCAACGTTGAGGAAAAATGATGGTACCTTTCGAAATCCCGTACGGCACCTTAAAGGCAGACACATGGAAAATTGAAAACGTCTATGCGGATCAGATAGGAGAAATCGGCGGTATTACTGTAACGCGATCGACGTTCTACCAAATTAGCTTATTTCACTGAGTTCTGATAAGAAAAGCTTCTATTTTACTTGACGTATTCCATATATGTCTATATATAATAGTATAAATGTCATGTCATAAATAACATTTGATTTATTTCATTCATTATAGAAAAAAAAAACAATTATTTTTTGGCATTTAAATCAAACCCAGATTGACATTGGATATATATTTTATTATTTATTCATTTATTTATTTATTTGTCATTATAAATTTCAACGCGATTTGATTCTGTCAATTTTATAAATAAATTATTCAAGAATTCAAATGAAAATTGTTAAGAAAAATTTATTTCATTGAAATAAATATAAATTGTAATTCAATTGGTCAAGTATCAATCTTTTGGATGATTGTTATTTTATTGTTAATTATTTTACACATTGATATTAGAATGATTAATACATATAAAATATAAACGAATGAAAGTTAAAATGAAAATGAGAGATCTTGGCAACATTCTAAAATTATTTTAAAAAGATGTTCGTGCTTAGATTAAATCCGATTGACCTTGCAATTGCATTCTTATTCAATAATACTCTTACAAGCATGAATATTTTAATATTCAGAGAAATAAAAAGATCACAAAAGAGAGAGAGAGAGATGAATCTTCCAAATAATAACTAATAGTAAAAAATTTTCTTCGTGTTTGGATTAAATTACATTGACCTTGTAATTTAAATCGAATTTTATAATTCTCTTCCACGTTGATATTCAAATGTTCAGTATAAAATGCAGTAGAAGAAAAATAAGAAGAAGTAGAAGAAGAAAAAGAAAAAGAATAGAAGATAAAGTAATCCTGGACAGTTATAGTTAATTCTAAAAATACGTTTGTGTTTGAATTATTTTTGATTGGTACTGCAATTTTAATCCAATCCCATATAATTCCCATTTCACTGTGAATATTCAAATAATTCAGAAAAATCATCTATCCCACGATTATAATTCATTTCAGAAATTATGTTCATTTTCGGATTAAATCTGATGGTCACTGCAATTCCTATCGCAATTTGTTATTATCTTAATTTATTCAATTTCATTCCCATTCGGAGAATTCCCTAATAACACGTGGAATATTCCAAAAAAAAGAAAAGAAGAAAGTCGAGAATAAAAATCAGTTAAATGAGAAGAGAAGTAAAAAAAAAAATATAAGGGAAACGAGAACTCACTCCAGCACGCAATTATTAATTCTTTATATTCACAATTAAAATCTGATATTTACAAATGTTGATTGTAAATGTAAAATGTTTGATCGATATCTGTAGAATTTTTCATCGCAATTTGTTCATCGTTACCTAAAATCAATGTTATTTCAAATCCATAATAAAACAAACAGACGAAATGAGAAGATTAGGTTTGGAAAAGTTGGCTTCCCCTTTAAACCCTCATTTGGAATGTAGGAACAAACCGATTATTTCACGACTCGATCGCTTGACTATCGGTAAGAGTAAGCTGTTGACCTAAATCTGACTGGTCATTACAGATTTAGAATTATACGTTGTATGTGTACAGATAACGTTTCCAACTATTTTTATTTTCCTATACGAGAGACAGAAAATTCAGGACATATATATGATAGTCGCATGACTTCAATACGTTTTATTTGATAATTGAAATATGTTAATTATTAAAAATTGTTTTTTCACGAAATTAAATTCGTTGAACTGTTATTCAATTATTTAAACAAATGAAACAATCGAATTTTACTTTACTTTATTATCATTAGAAAATAAAAGTTATATCATATAAAATTATTTTCCAATTACCATAATAAATATTTCATCTCAGAAAAGTTTATATATATATATATATATATAATATATTTAATCTAACTCATTTTGTTTATTATCTTTTCTACTTGTTAACAATTTATTTTCTTTCGAGACAACTCAACTTCGATTATTTTATTATTATTCAGTTTCCTGAGAGAGATGAAGTCAATTAGTCGAGTTAGATGGTAGCAGTTTTGGACGTATTTGATGAGCCCAAGTAAAGTTCGAGAGCGATTCTCGAAGGTCCGTCGTCGTTGTCCTGTCTAGAAGGGCTCAGTATTTACCACAACTTCCCTGCTAACTAGACTATGTTCATTTTAATAGCTTAACGCTGGGCTTTCGAGAAAGCTTCACTCGAAATATCTGTCAGACGTGCTTAACGCTTTTCAAGCGATCAAAACTACTCTCTCTTTCTCTGTATTATTTCAATTGTTCTTCCACCAGAACAGTGAACACTTCTAACGATACTTCAACCCTCTTGTTTTTTGTGTTTGTTTTTTTCTTTTTTATCATTTAATAAATTCGAAATAAATGTCGTTGTCGGAATGCGACAGAATTCAATAAATCATTTTTCCTATTTATTTACACGATAAATGTAAAATTGTGACAACTATTTTTTTTTCTTTATTCGTATTACGTATTCCGTTTAGAAAATCCTAAATAAATTTGTATTATTCTGTTGATAAAATAGGTCGAGGTTTGTTTGGATTAAATGCAATGTTGAATAATTATTTTGTATTTTTTCAATTGTTAATGTAAATGGTAAGATTAATCATTAGACATTATTCTCTGTTAAATTTATAGATTATCAAGATAATTTATTCAGATTATATAAATAAGAATAATATAGAAATAATCCAACCATGGATGATGTTATTAAAAAACCATTACCTTATCGACGAAGCATTAAATAAAATTCCATATTAAAATATAAATACAATTTTACTATAAATATTGAATTACTCCAGAATAAATATAAAAATCACTGTTGAGATATATACAAATAAAAGTCTTATAATATAAAATTATAATATTACTATACACTTTTCTAACCTAAAAAAAAAAAATAATTCAAATTACGACCTACAAAATTTTAGTATGAATTTTGTATATTCTTCTTAATCTATTTAATTAAAACATGTAATACTTTTATTAAACAATTAATTACTTGCGAATAAATATAAAAATAAAAGTATTACAATACAAATATAATACTACCATTCATCTTTCTAATATGCATAACCTCAAAAAAAGAAAAAAAACAAAAAGAAATAATATAAATTACTATCTGTTTATTTGTTAAA